CCAATAAAATAACGCTGCATCTTTTTTTTGAGTTAAAGCTAATGCTTCAAAGCAACTATTTGAGACCTTTAGTAAAGAATTTTGTAGCTCCTTTCAGCGGATTACTTCATAAAAATGAAAGAAGTTTGGAATTACCGTTTCGAGCATCGCAATTGCATCCACTGTTTTCCACTGCCCATTGCGATTGAGCAGCCATTTTTTTTTGTAAACCTGAATTTTCCGAGTTTTCACCTTGTTATTATCAGGCCAAATTAAGCCAATTATCTCGTAGTTTACTTTTTTAAAAGCCTCGTGTTAGTTTTGTGTACAGAATAATAATGGAATGCACTTACGTCAAATTCTTTGGAGGTCTTTTTACCCAAAAAATCACTACAAGCGAAAAAACATGTTTTTGCTAAGCCATTGGAAATGATGCACGAAATTTTAGATATGCAAGTTTACTCAAAGTCCAGGATCATTAAATTCATAAAATTGGGGTTTATCAGCTCATAAATCGACAGCGGTGGTGGGTAATCAAGTTGCATTCAGATGGCTCGAGGCGATATTCGCCTAGTTTGCGGAGACCGATGTATGCTTAATCTTGTGCACTGGTGCCCACCGCAGACGCCCTCTACTCGCTCTAGTCCACCCTTTTTATTACCATATTCCAGACAAAATCAACCCAATTTATCACTGATATTTGTGTAGTGATGGATGGAGATAACGCACCTGACACCAGTGAAACGAGTGCTGTTGAGAGCTATTTGGAGTATCAAGATGGGTTTATTAGCTCTGAGGTAAGCTTGAAAAAGTTATAGTTCCTGCAGCGTAAAAATTATTTAGCAACTGACTGTAATAATAAAAATGATATCAATTTTCTGCTTTTTTTCTGGAATCTGAAGTGATCCTAAAAATAGTTTAGAGTTCGAATAAATAAGTTTAATACTAAGATTTTCCTCGGAACCCATCGATCATAAAGCAAGATATGATATCCACCAAAGTGTTTGTACTATTTCACTTAAACTCACGAAAACAGGGACTGTAAGGGTTACAATCATCTAGAAACTGACTTTTCAGCGTCAAACACCTTCAGGAGACAGCTCAGACGCTGGCACGTTTCTCTTCCACCCAGACAATGATGATTTCGATGAGAATGATCAGGTCAGACTTTCCATCTTCGCAGAGAAAACTCCCATTGTTAAAGGTTTCCTCACTTTTTTTGTGGAACTATTTATTCTTCAGTAGGCAACTTTAGGTTTTCTTGACATCTCCGCATCACAAATTATTTTGTGCAAAAGCCTATATATTCGCC